CGAGACGTGCCCCGTCCTCGCGTCAGGTTCTGGCTGCACTGGTGGTCAGCTACCACATATCCTTGGTATGAATGTGACAATGAGTGGACGGTAAAGTAAAGGTAGCCCAGGAATGCAAAGAACACTCTCTCATCAACGAGTATCCGCAGAGCCAGCAATCTGACCAGTGTCTTGATATACACAGAGTGTTCTTTGCATTCCTGGTCTACCTTCACCATCCACTCATTGTCACATTCATACCAAAGGTATATGGTAGCTGAGCGCCAGTTTTTACTCCTACTTATAAATGAGCCGGAAGTTGCTGATGTCTAGAAGAATATCTAGATAGCCAAAGCAGTTGAGGTGAGCTGCGCATCCGTGTTATTACTGGAATATTTCAGCACATTACGCACGGCTGCAGAAAATTTTGAGAAGCGATGAGATGATTTATAAGCCGGCAATATCCATCCTTCTCCCTTTTCCTGCGCCCCTATACCCACCTTTGCCCCAGGTCCTCTGGTTCCAGAATAAACCAACAAAATAATCTGAATCATTGGCGACGCGCACCGGGTGAGCCCATGCGATCATGCGTTTTTGCAATATTTCGTGCTTTAGTGGGATCGCTCGGAAACCCAGTGGACAGAAACTTGTGATATACTGGTCTTCGAAGTCCGGGAAGCAAATAGTTTACGCAGTATTTGGACAAGGAACACTCCTTTCAAATTTCAGCTTTCCAAATTTAAACATCCGGGCACACACAAACACAAACACAAACACAACACACACACACACACATACATACATACATACATAAGCAGACAGATAAACCCGTAACAGTATGCATTTTGTGCAGCTGTTGCACAGAACAAAACGCATAAAAACGATTTTACTTTTTTGCATAATTGCAATGACATTCTGCACATCACTTATTTGGTGGAGAGTACAATTGTTTATATGATTACGAGGAAATACTCCAAGCAGCTTTCATTCCATCGTTCTCTCCGTCACAGCCAATGCCCGGAATTAATAAAGCAGGGTACTGTTTCCCAGGAAAAAGAGGAAAATGCGTTGCACTATTCAAGCAACAATCGAAAAAACAAATTTTATTCAGTGATAACAGTTAGAAAGTCCAACAAATCATCAGCCGCATCTTCCCAACAATCACTTCTTTTCAGCTTTACTTTTAGCTTTCAGTACACGCGCAACGATTTTCTGTTCTTCGATCAGAAATGCACGAATGATGCGTTCACGTACTGCTCCCGCTGACAAACAACCACCGTATGCACGTGTCACATGTTTCAAGCGTTTGGTCAGCTTCCGCAACTGGCGTGGTCGAGCTGGCTTCACCTGAAAAAAAAACAGGAACGATTGGCGGAGATGCTCAACAGAGAATCGCTCACACTATTTCCTTTGTATTCTTCGCCTAAGCGTTCGATTCGCTCAGGCCTTGGCATAAACGTTGTGAATAACAACTGCAGTTGCGCTGCTGAGGGACGGAAGGCCTAGCACAGCCGAGCCGAGCGTGTAGGGGGAGCGTTCCAGTAACATCACTGATATGGGCTGCCCTCACTAACTGTTCTCTGACCACTTGTTATTTTATTGGTGAAGAATGAAAGGAGAAATAAGAACAACTACAGCTTAAAACAGACTGCTACGATCGAGCAAATTTTTTTCAAATTTCATTCGGTTCGGCCGCGCCTCACTTGCACCGTCCACTCTTCATTCGGCCATCTAATGTCCATTACATTAGTTTACCATCTCTCGATTATTATCACAGTTAGGTAAGAAGTTTTTGAACAAAGTTTCTTGTACTGGCACGCACAGTACTGAGGTTTTTATTACCAGTCCACATCTACCACAACCCTTACATTCCTGTTTGAAATGATCACTTCACAGTCGGGCCCCTTCTTCCCTTTCTATTTTGTTGGGACTGGCCATTATAACTGTTAGAAATTATTACAATGACTCCCAGTCCATCCCCACAGAAATCATCGCTCTGGATGCTTCGGTTGCGGAGTTACGACATACTGAAATCAGAGCTACCCTCCCATTGGCGTAAGTGAAGTTTCGATTACAACGTAAGCTGGTGACTCGACAGTGCTGCGACTAAGCAACAAACCAATTCACAGTGCAAAACAGTCAGTGGTTTCACGATCTAAACAGTAGCTTTAGAAATAAATCATCCAAATGTGGACGGACACCTCCTGTCGCTGCTGTCAAAGACGATATGTGGGTTTTTTCAAGGACTACTGCATTTTGTGTTTTGTAGTAACAGCTCCGTTAAAATTTAGACTTTTCACTTCCAATTTTGTTAATTTTGATAATTGTTACACGGTGCGATAAAGAACACTTCACCAAATCGCTAAATTCCACGAATGGTACAATTTAAATCCCGCAATGATAGCGTAACATACCCCTTTCAGTTTTACGCCGGTATCGCCACATCGTGCAACCGAGCCAGACTTCTTTCTGTACAGGAACACCAATCGACCGCCAGGAGTCTTGGAAACCTGCAAACAGTGCACTGAACGATTAAAAACAAGCAAATGATCGTTAGAATATTAAGAAAATCAAAAGTAAAAGCCATGTTCGCGTCCAAAACCCGTAAAAAGCAGAGGTGCTTCAGGAATCAGATCAAGCTGTAGCACATGCTAGCAGCAAGCACCAGCTGGCAAGGCTCTCAACGACTCCATCTTTTGAGGGCTGTGGGAAAGGGGGGGGGGGGCTGGTTTGGCTTCCTGACAAAAGACACAATAACAATGTACCATCGGAACTAGTGAAAGGTTTATTGAGGGGTTGCTGCGGACGCTCAACAACTCGTTCATTCATTTCGATGGTAAACTACTACTTACATATGGCCTGGGGAGGGGGAATGGAGGGTCAAAATCGCCACTAGCTTGCTTCCAAGCCACATCCAAGAAGGAGAAAGCTATCGGCGTTCTTTCGGTTCTCGTTTGTGCTTGGCATTTGCAAATATTGGGGGAGGGGGCCTTCTGCGATTGCTGTGGGAGAGGGACACCGTAGTGTTTCGTGCAGGACAGGAACAGCGGTGTCCCTCTTAGAGCAGCCATGGCATCCGCCGACAAACCTGCCAATGTGTAGTTGCTGTTGCTGGCGCCACAGGCACATTCAGGGCGGTCTCCTAGGAGGGGAGGGGGAGACGGAGGGGAGATGGAAGGAGTGACATGGGGTACCGGGCAGAAGACTTTTGTAAAAAAATTGCTACCTAAGCCCATGAGTGAGGACGGGGCCTCCCTGGATCTGCCAATGCCTGGCACGTGCTACTGCCTGGGCTGATCTTCGGCTGCCTCCACGTTACTCGGTGAATTATGCGAATGGAATTTCACAGCTCAACAAACTTCTGCCAATACAAATAATAACGGGACGAAACCTTTGTTTTATTCGATGCGGTATTGTAACACAAACGACGCCGATACGTCAATCGTCGCGGCATTTCCTCGCTTCTTCAACCTGCAAGTTCCTCTGTTATTTAAGCAAAAATGCAGCAAACGCTGAACAAATTCAACGCCATTTTCAGTGGAGCAAAACCAGACATAGGCAAACTTCGTGGCACAACAGGCACCCATCAAAACTACGCTTCCCTTCATCCGAAATGACAAAATCTACTTAAAAATGAAGCCCTCCACCATGTCTAGCCCACAAAAACCAATTTAATCCCCCCTCAACACCAAACACCCCAAACAACAGAGCAGAACCGGGCAATACCTCAAAACGAATCAATGGGAGCGACATGAAAACGTAGATCCCATTACGAGGCAAACCGCCACTTATACGTTGAGAGTCCAGGACCGGTGGGGGTGCGTGTCCGGCGTCAGTGTGATGTTACTGCGATGATCCTACAAACCAGCTGCAGCTGTACTGGGGTGCTCAAGGTCGAGGAGGACGGGGATACCCAGAAATCCCACGCCCCCGCACAATTCCCCTCGGGGACACACATTTCAGGGCGCCGATTCCGAGCTGCTACTGCTGCTGCTGTTGCTGCGTGTGTTTCTGGATTGCCGGCGGCAGGTTGGGTGGGAGGGCGAGAGAGAGTGTGTCTGGTGCTGTCTGCAGATCGGTCCGCTGCTGCTTGCAACGCTATTTATTGAACAACCACTGGCACCCAGTGGTCTGATCCTTTGCAGTTCAAAATGGGGGTGTGATGAGTCGGTTCAATTGCCGTTTTGGGAAAGTATGGCATGACGCGTTCCGTTCACGCGTAGAACAGTCTGATCCCCACTTGAACTGGCAAGGAATTCATACTTCTTCTTTTTTTGGAAGGGAGTTCTGGCTCGGGCTTTGCTCAACATCTCTGAGTTCGTTTGCATCGTTGCACTAAATATAATGAGCATTTATCTTCGTTTCCAGGCACTAGTATATTAACCCGTTTCCCTTACGACTGCCAAGGTGGATCAATAATCCGCAACGGCATTAGCCAATATCTCAGATGTTCCGGGATATCGTCGCGTGAGGAAGGGTGGAGATACTACTGGTGGTGTCTACGCGAATATCGAATCCGCTCAGGCTGGCAGCGTGGGGGGAGGGGGTACGGATGTCGCCTCGGAACGGCCGAGATACACCGATATTCACCTACAATTATAAGTGGTTTTGGGAAAACGCTTTCACGGACTATGCTTTCCAAGAATGACATATAATATGCATAACGATATATACATATAAGATATAATAACATATATAAGAAATAATGATATGATTTAGACAGAAAAACCCGCGAAAAGCCGGCCAAGAAGCTGCCACAATGAAAAAGAGAAAAAAGATATATCTTGCCTTGAAAGGTAGATACACAGTAGATGTGCTGCCAGCTTGAAACTGGAGCCC